TCATAGCAGCTTTAGTCATAATAGCCAGAAACTAGAAACAACCCAATTGTCCTTTAACTGAAATTATATAAAGAAAATATGGTCCACTTACACAATCAAATACTACTTAGCTATTAAAAACAAGGACATCATGAAATTAGCAGGCAAATGAATGGAAGTAGAAAATATCCTGAATGAGGTAACTCTGACCCAAAAGGACAGGCATGGCATCAAACTTCTTATTTGCCAGGGGACCTCTGGTTGCAGAGGAATCTTATGCGAGAGCCCATTCATACACAGGTCTGGGAGGGTCTGCCCTTGGTCAGATCGGGAGGGAGGGTCCTTACCCCAGGAATGCAAATATTCCTCCAAGTTCAACTGAAACCCAAAGATGGATATTTCAGAAAAACTCAGGGAGGCAGATGCCCTGACAGACAGTGAGAGTCTTCTGCACAGGCACAGCCTTTGTAACCTTCGACCTTTGTGAAATGGTTATGAAATGAACAAAAGTCTCTATGATTAACTAACAAATGGCTTCCTTTGAAGGCACCAGTTGTGTCTTAATCCAAAGCAGTTGATTTGTGACAGTGAGCGTTTGCTGAGGTCTGCTGCCATGGTGAGAAGACAGGAGACCCGGAGAAGCCAGAGAATGGTTAATCCTCTGAAGGGAGCCTTGTGATAGGGCCCATGCAGCTGACAGCCACCATTGGTCAGTTCTCAATAGGGCAGACCCACCTCATACTGAAGACCATGTCTGTCCTTCCTTTCTAGGACCCAGTGGCCATCTGTAGCTGAGCACTAACTAATATGCCCTTGGGGCATCTTTACAGACTGTGTCCATGACAGATGCTCTACCTTCAGGCTAGTGAGTTCGTCCCCCTCAGGGCAGTGGTGAGCTCCCACCAGCTTCTAGTGGACTCATCATAAATGTTCAAGACCAGTGCTGATGCCACTAGAGTTTTAAAGATCTGAGAGGTAAGATTCTGAGATGCAGTCACTATGTAGCCTGACCAAGGCCACCAAGGACCAGCGAAGGTCAAATAACTTCCCAAGTTCATACCTCTCCTACAAGCAGAAATGGCTAGTTTTATTCATAGACATCTTTTTTTTTAGGACATTAAAGAAAGAGTGGAGGACAGAGTCACCTCCCTGATATTTAAAAGTACCTGCGGTATGAAGGACAGTGAACATCTACCGCCCTGCAAGGCTGCCCATATGGAGGTCACCTTCTGGACCAGCTCATGGACCGTCACCAACACCCAAACTAGGCCAAACCATTTCTGACCCTTGTGGTATATTACATCTTAATTCCCACAGTATAAGGAGTATGTATGTTGTTGGTCCCTACTACCCCTTGGCTACGTTCAAAATGAAACCAAAGGCAGAACAGAACAGAACAGAACAATTAGAGAAGGACAAACTTACAGGTTGATTTTTTTATTCTCTGAGAAAAATATTATTTTCAAAAGACAGTTGATACTTAGATATAGATTATAGAAAATGCTATTTAATAATAGTTTTATGGTACATGATGTTCCCATGGTCATTGTTAGTTTGATGTGGGCAAGGCTTGTTGTGAGTGTCGGAGATGACAAAACCGAGTTGTTATATCTGAACCTCTCACCAAAAATCTTGATATCTTTCAACATAACTGCAAAATAATGCTTGAGAGAATATCAACTATTCTGCGTCTCTTACATTATAATCTTAACGTATCAGAAAGGTTAACGATAGATGATAGTCTGTCTCATGCACCATCTGCAGTGCACTGTGCTACTATCTCTGCATACTCTCTACAGCCGGCTTAGTTTTTTATTTTCACATGCCCACTTTACAGATGGGGAAACCAGGCTCAGAGACATGTAGTTGGGAACTGGGTCCTTGTAGTTCAGTCAACACATCTTGAACATAAGGGGCAGGTGGAGGCATGAATATGTGCCTCTCCTTGGCTTCTCTTCTGAGGTGGTTAATATTGATTATTAGCTTGACAGTATCTAGAATAACCTAGGATGCAAGCCTCTTGGCATATCTGTGAGGGAGCTTTGAGACTGCTTTAATTGTGATGAGAAGACACGCCCTAAATGAGGATGGCATCATCCTATGTGTTTCATCCTTGAACTATAAAAACAGGAGAGTGAACTGAGCACCTGGATCCATCTCTGCTTCCTGACCAGATACAATGTAATCGGATCCATCCCTGCTTCCTGACTGGATACAATTTGACTGGATGCCTCTGGCTCCTGCAGCCAGGACTTCACTGCTAGCATGGACCGTACCTTCAAACTGTGAGCTGAGATAAACCCTTCCTTCCTTAGGTGGTTGTTGTTAGGCATTTTGCCATAGCAACAAGAAGTTTACAGAGACATCTTCTTACCCTTCCCTGAACAGCCATAACTAAATAGAGAAGATGCTCCCAAGAGCCCAAGCCTTCCCTCTAGTGGCTCCTGGCACGTCACATTCTGGGATACAACTGTGGCAGCACCCTTCTGAAAAGTCCTTGCTCAGAGCATCTTGGGCAGACAACTGCTGAACCTTTTCAGTGGGAACTGAGTTGCAGAAGCCCAGAGCTGGAGGCAACATATGGCATGTTGGCATTATCTTAATTTCCTTGCTAGCATTGTTTCATACATTGTCTCCGTCCGACCATACTAAGTCATGAGGAACTAACTGTGAATAAGAGAAATGACAGGTTAACTCGCCTTTCATTTGTTTTCCATAATAAATGGAATATTTCCTTGAACAAAGCCATTACCATTTCAATTTATTCATGCTTTTTCTTCCTGGCATCCTAATGGCAATATTACATAATTATATCTGCTCTGTAGCCATCAGCATCGATGGTAATGCCTTGCATATCTTTTGTTAGACTGCTGACAGGAGGCAGCAGGTTGCTTTTTTATACCATTCCATCCACTTGATTGACAATTGAACCTCAATTGTCAAACAGGGAAACAACGTCAGTGACATAAGTGATCAGGGACTGGGTGAGGACCCAATCTAACACACTCCGTACTCACTATATTCAAGGCACTGTTCCAGACACTTCGCATGTGTTAGCTTACTTAATCCACCCACGACACTCTGCGGTGGATTCCATTATCAACACCTCCACTTCTACAAATGAGGAGGGTGAGACAGAGAGAGAGATGAGGTTGCTTCAGGTTCATCCACACCGGGCTTGTACCTTGCAGTCTGGACCTGATGAGGGGATACCTTTATGTTCCAGGTTTCTCAGTCCCTGTCTTTCTTTCTCCTGTATGACTCAATCTTATATAAAAGAATCCTGCTGTGTTGGGTACAGAGAATGTGGCAAAGTGACACGAGTGTGACTTGAATACCTGCCAAAGTCAACCTTGGAGTTTAGCTGTCATGTTTGAAGGACTGCAGGGAGGGGCAGCCAGGCATAGGGCTGCATAATATAATCCTAACACTCATGAGGCTGAGGCAGGGGTATGGTGAGTTTGAGACTAGCATGGGCTACACAGGGAGACATTTACCTTCTGTTAGAAAGCAAGAGGGAAGACCAGGTAGGATCTTTAAAAGTATCTGGTCACAAGGGCTCTATCCTTCTTAACAGATCAGTGGGTTTAAGGAGCCATAGGTGTCTTGAAGGGGAGCTTTTTACAAAAGCCTGTTTATGACCCTTGACTATGTCATTCTCACAACGTATGTTGTCTGGTTTTGCTTCACCATGCCCACAGCGCCTGACTGAACCAACTTAAATGAGGAATGATTTATTTCAGCTCCTGGAATCAAAAGATTCAGCCATCATGGTGTGGAGGATGAGAGAAAAGGATAGCCCATGTCCTGAGCCAGAGAGGGGATCACTCAGAGCCCTGAGGCTTCCTGTTATCTACCTGTACGACCCAGCCCACGGGGTCGTACTACCCTGCTCAGTTGATACCCTCAGAGACACACAGAACTGTACCTCAGTCTCCTAGGTCAACTTGATGGAGATTAATCTTCACATCACGTTACATCCTGGCCTTCACCCCTCACAGCCCCTCTTGGACAAGGCTGCCTCTAGAACCTTGAGTTGAACAAACCCTGATTCTTCATAAGCTCCCCAGTGTGTGGCATTCGATTCTAGCAGCAGAGAGGTGACTACCAGAGATAGATGTTTAAATCCTTTTCCTTATTCTTACTCTGTCTGTTCAAAGTATAATTTTTGCCTGACGACCCCTCGACCTTTGAGGCACTGTTAGGTTTAAAATGAGTGAAGTGAGATTTATGCACACATTTTTGCCAACAGGATGTAAATAACTCCTGTACAGGTTTGACCATTTGGACATGGGGGTGAAGTCATGAGGAAGCTATGCGCATTTCTGAAAGTAAAGGTGCTTTCAGAGTTTATTGGCCTCAGGATTCCTGCTACATCCATGTTTTCAGTAGGCCACTTTCCATAAACCAAGGCCTTGAAAAGAGCTCAGTGCTTCTGTGAACACATAGTATTCTCTGCCTGGGTGCAGGTCAGGAGGGAACACCAGGCATCAAGCAGCAGAGATGTGTGAACACTGCCCTTAAAGTAACAGAGCCAAATAACGGTGCTTATGGTTTTGGCTCTAGGAGTGTGAACCGAGGCTAGAATGTGATAAGAGAAAGAGTCTCGAAGGAATATTATAATTTCAGGAAACAAGCTGCTTGGTCCAAGGAATTGCCCCATGAATTAATTTAAATATTACTGCATTTCTTCCAAATGGAAAGGAAACTCATAATTCTTAGTGCCTGTTCATCACCAATATTATGCCAATTATTGCATTACTTTTGGTTGATAAATATTCACAGAATAAATGAAGCCCATAAGATGGATTAATTCTCCAGGAGTACAAACAAAAACTTTCAATATTTTATATCACGTAATTAAATGCTGTTTGCAGTTTCTAGAGCCAGGACTTGGGACACGCTAATTAATGGCTCTGAGAAGGTGTATTGACATGTTATGTGGTTGGTGTTCAGAATCAGATGATTTCTAAGCCCTAAATGGCTCTGCTGGTGCAGTGCGTTCACGGAATCAATCCTACCTGCAGAAGTCTGGGGGCACCATGCCATAGACATCGATCCTGTCACAGAGCTCCAGAGCAATTGTCATGGTGAACCAGCCAGTGCTCAGCCAAGTGTTGGAGATCTTCCTGGAAGGAACAAGGGTAAAGTTTGCACTCTGGTAAAGCAGTCCCAGGTTCATAACCATGCTGGAGCCAACTATAGAACAAATACCCCCACCCCTAACACACACACGCACATATGCACACATACAGGCACATATGCACACACACACACACACGTGCACCTCACATGCACACATGTATATACACACAGGCACATGTGTGTACACACACGCACACAGGCATGCAGGCAAACACTCATACACGCGCTTTCTCTCACTCTCTCCCATTTGGTATACATTAGAATCTTGCTAAACCAAAATCTCTTACAGTACTTTCATGAGTAATGTTGTTGCTTAAGGGATTTCTACATCATTAAAGATAATGATCATGGTTTGAATGCTTAGGTGTGTGTTGCCGTAACTCAATTGTAAGATGACAATATCCATGTGGCCATTTGTTATTAATGAGAATATTTGACTAGAGACTCTCCCTGTGTCCCTAAACAAGCTAGATTACAAATAATATAATTATGGATAGACATGTAGTTCTTGCTACCACTCTTTCCATCTATCTATTAATCTACCCACTTATCTATTGTCTATACATGTATGTATGTATGCATGTGTACATATGTATGCATGTATACATGTATGTATACATGAATTTATGCGTGTATGTATGTATCTAACACATCTATCTTCGACTTGTATTTATCATCATCATTTGTTACTTATCTATCATCAATCAATTCCATTTTGCCATGTCTATTATCAACTATCACTTATCAGTCATTAATCTGTCATCTGTCTATACATTCATCTACCCACTTATCATGTATGTATATATGTATCTGTCTGCCCATCCATCCATCCATCCATCCATCCATCCATCCATCCATCCATAGGTCAGAAGTTGTCCCAAAGCACATGAAGAACACCAGTGTTATGACTGAATTTCTTTCTTAGGAGGAGCACATGAGTTAGGGAGGAAGAGAGCCAGAGGGAAGTGTGCATCTAATAGAATCTCTACTTTTACTTTACCTAAGGTCATTCAGAAATGTCTAAGCCCCAAACCGACAAGTTTAAGGAAATAAATCTGCGCATTTTGCCATTCATTAACATATCCGTTCAGACATCTGAGTGGAGGCTGAAGCCGCAGTCTAGCCTCAGGAGACCAGTGGAGACACATTGACAAGGTCTAATTTGAGTCCTGAGAATGAGTCACTGGTCTCCACATTCCACTGCTGTGGATGTTAATTTCAGTTCTTCTGGGATTGCTGCCTTTTCTTTCTTCAGTGCCATGGCATGCCTCATTAGCCAGCTCCAAACACCTTGTCCCCAAGGTCAGACTGTCTGACTTTGCCCAGCCACGGAGCTGTATGTGAGGTGAATAGAGAGCTGAAGAGAGGGCTTCCCAGATACACTTCGGAGCTCCGTGATTTGAGAGGGAAGACTGATAAACAGTTTGCTTTATTCCCCTTCATGCCGGGATAGGGAACATTTTTAAGGAGGCTTTTCCTTGTCGAGAACCTGACAGACACGGGTGGGTTTCCATTTCAATTTCGACACCTAAGCCTTTAACATGTCTTCCTCCACCATTTCAATTTCAAGACCTAAGACTTTAACATGTTTTCCTCCACTCCACAGCTTCCTGACCAAGCTTGTCAAAGCTCCTACAGATGAGGATCACGTGAGCTTGACACTCTTCTGTTCCTGTTATGTGCAGCTGGGTAACCTGAGGCCCGTTGCTGCTGATCTCTGAGCCTTAGTCTCCTACCTACAAAGCAGATACTAGATGCCCTGTCCTCTGGCCATTTGAGAACATTAGAAAATGTCCACAAAAGGGACTGGGGCAGAGGGCAGTGATGACACATAGAGATCCCTCCCTTCTCTCCTGGCTGCTGGGGTGAGTGAACAAGGTAAATAATTTAGCATTCCTTCAGTGCTGTTTAGTATCCAGGAAGAAAACCCTTCCAACCCTCTGGCGCTGGGGTCTGATGGAGGAGGTGCATCAGTAGCAAGGGTAGCATTTATAAAGAACAGAAACCTCTAATATATCCCTTTTCTCTTACTAGACCTATACCTTTATAAGGCTTTGGGCTAGAGGGGTTAGGAAGGATCAGAGCCAACTGAACAAGAAGGGGAAGACGAAAAAAGCCTTCATTTAAAGGGGAGCCCATGTTCACACCTCTGCTGTGTTAATGGATTGGGTAGTTCTTCCCAGACTAGTCAGGTGGAGCCCAGGAAAAAACACAACCCTCACTCATATCCTAGAGATCCCTGAGAGATCTGGGAACCAATGGTCACACTCATATCTTCTGCTTCTCCATTCCCTGGAAACACCAACCAGGGCTTTCCTGGGAGCAGAAACTTCCTGGAAGTTTTCCGGTGATGCCACAGCCTGGAATACAGGAGGATGTGGGGCCACCGGAAGTGGCTCTGCAGGTGGAACTGAGAAGAATACAAAGTAGAAGTCTAGAGGCACTGAAGTGAGGCGCTCTTTTAAGTGCCACTTAAAATTCCCCAGACTTCCTAAATAATAGCCTTGGGATCATGCACCATAGAAACGCAACTGCTTTGTTCTGTCTTCCTGAAAGGATCGGAACTCTTTTTTTCCCCTCCAACAAAGGAATATCTACTGTTTTTACAGTTAATCAGCTGTAATGAAAGAATATGAAGAGCTGTCATGTGCTTATTAGAGAAAATTAGCAGATATTCTTTTATATGATGAAGTAACACACTGAGCTGATAACGCTATAGTGCACACTAAATTACAATTAAAGGCCTTTCTGCTCTGCCAGAACCTCGTTTATAATCTCAATGGAATATTCTTCCTGCAGTTATTTCATTTATGCTTCCTTTATGTAATTACTATAATATTGGTTCTGAATCATATTTTCCTAATGTGCCCTTATTCAATTATAAAGTTATTTTCAAGTATAGTTACTTTCTAATATCAAAGAACATGATTTGGCCATCTCTGTCATCTGCCATGCTTCTTAATTGCAGAGTGTTCACGAGCCAGCTTCATCTCCACTTTTCAGGGTAAAATTTCCTATAAATCAAAATCAAATGACTTGGCTCATTTCTTAAAAAATATTAGCCTAAGCCAAATGTTCCAGTGCCGAGTTTGGTTTGGACAGAAAGCCAACTCTTTTTGTGTCTTCAACATATGCGCTCATATTGTTGGATTTCTCTGCTTACATACAAGGAATATTTTCAACCCAAATGTTCTGGGTTTCAGTCAAATGGAAATCTGTTATGGAAGGTTGTTTTTGTCTCTCAGCCTAAGAATAAGGACGTATAAGAACAGTGAGTCAATATCAGGCCAGCTTTGTAAAGACAGTCTCCTAAGAAAGGAGACGCAAAGCTCCTTTGGAAGGATTGAGACGCTTTGGCGTGCTACAATGTCATAGGTGAGATTGCCCGAGCAGGGCAGAATGGATGATAATTACAGTGTATCTGCAGAATGAGACCCAGGAGCTCAGCTGCAAAGACTTGGCTCATTTCTTATAGCTGGACCAATAAAGAGAGATGTTCTGAGCAGAAGGTTTTCACTGGTCAGGCTATAGAGAGGGGTAAGATGTGTCTTGTATGAGACTGTTCCTTAGGGATCTCAAGAGGTCAAAGGGTGGGATGGTTTAGTCTCCAGGATGCCCATATCATGATGCCCTTGCAGAGATGCAGCAGTGTGCAGTTGTCTTTGTGAACCCTGCACCAGGGTTTTGGGAAGACTTACTTTTAATGGACAATTATTAAGCAAAAAAGAGAGAATGCGTTTTCTATGGTTCAGACAGTTTAAACTTTTTTTTTTGAAATTTCTAAGCAGCAACACTTAATTGTAAATAGTTTCTTGTTCGTCCATTCCTTATACAATGTGTTCTTGGTGAAAGAACTTGTTAACATTCAGGGCTCTTTCCTATTGCTGGGTCACCATGATGGGACTTTATATCAGTTCTTAACTTTTAATCAGGAGTGTCCATATGATTCATGGCTAGGTTAGAGATTGACTAGGTTAGCCACAGGTCTGGACTGTGCTAGTTGTAGGTCTATTGGGCTAGCCTTAAGTCTGTTAGCTGGCCGTAAGTGTGGACTTTGCTAGTCATGAGTGTGACGGACTAGTCACAGGTGTGTTTGGCTAACTGTAACTCTCCTAGTCAAGCCGTAGACCCACTAAGCTAGCCATGGGTCTGGCCTGTGGTAGCCACAGGTCTGTTGTGTCTTCCCAAGTAAGAGACTGCTGCAGTGTCGACAGAGGTAATGCTTCCCTTCTGGGGCTGACGACTGTCAGGCTGAGCCCTCAAACTGCCATAAAGTTCCCAAGGTTAAAAAACACAGCTCTTTTATCTAAAGAATCTGGGGATACTGGACCTTGTTTCCCAGTCATGTGTTCCTAAGCTAGCCAAATAGTAGATTCGGTACTTTCTGGTCTTTATTTTACTTAACAAATCTTTTTAGGTTTAAGATAAGAAATGGAGTAACAGGTGTTTTTTGGTTTTTTTTTTTGAAGTGCATTAGACTCGTAAGTGTATGTTAATTATAGCCGTATATGCTTTGGAAATTAATTATGAGATCAGCCTGATGACCTGTAGCCACTGTCCCTTACTTCCACAGGACTGTGAGGTCACGGAGTCCCTAGGTCCATGGCTGACATTCCAGCTCAGAGCTGTGTCTCCAGCCACCCCTCTGAGGCTGCCCTGAGCACCCCAGTGTATTCCACCCCTCTCTGGCTCTGTCCAGCTTATGACCCTTTTCCCTTTTGACCTTATCTTACGCCACTTGCCCAGATGTCCTGGATGCACCCACAGGGGGACTTTCTACAGTTCCCCCAGCACGCTCACTCCCTGGTCCTTTGGTCCCTTGGGAAGACTTCTATCCCTCCCAGATCTTTCCATACCCGTAGAAACACTGTTCAGGGTCTCAGTCTGCAGCATCTTTGGAAGAAAGCCTTTTGATCACCCAGACCACAGATTTTTCAAAAATCTCCAACTTAGAGTGCGAAATACACCAGGACAATGAAGTCCATTCAGATGTGTGTCTGCGTGCATGTGGTTTTCGTCTCACTTTTACAGCATGCAGTGCAATGGATTTTAGTGTATTCGTAGATACAAGCCTTACTACTTACTTTAGAACATTGTCACATCTAAGCAGACTATCCCGTGTCTGCCCATCCCCACGTGCAAGCATCGTCCCCGTCACGTGCCACCTGAGAGGTTCTGAGTCACTATGTCGCCTTATTCTCAGACAGGTGCCATTACTGAAGAATCTTCCGTAATACACTGACATCATGCACACTGTTATCAAATCTCTAAAAATGTTTACTTTATGTGCACGTGTGTCTTGCTTACACGTATGTGTATGCACCATGTGCATGCCTGGTGCCCGATGAGCCAGAAGAGACTGTTAGATCCCCTGGGACTACAGTTACAAACGGTTTTAAGCTACCGTGTGTGTGTGTGTGTGTGTGTGTGTGTGTGTGTGTGTGTGTGTGTGTAAACTGAACCCAGGTCCTCTGCAAGGGCAGCCAGTGCTCTTAACCACGGCCAGCCCCTCTGCACCGTTGTCTAGTCGTAATGAGCACACTGGAAAACATTGCCCTAGACCGTGGCTTGTCTCCTGCCATGAAAGTTACAGATCCATTTTCTTCCTATCACTACTTGGTGAGTGTCTAAGGCTTTATGTTTAGAGGGTGGCATCTTGCTTCTGACTGTTCCCAGAGGCATGGCGCAGTGCTGAGCAAGGAGTAGGTTTTCAGTGATGAGCAGTGACCGCATGACTGTGTGTCTTTGAAAGGGAAATAATATCTCTCTCTTCTCTCTCTCTCTCTCTCTCTCTCTCTCTCTCTCTGTGTGTGTGTGTCTGTCTGTCTGTCTATGTCTATGTCTCTGTGTGTCTGTCTGTTTGTCTCTCTCTGTGTGTATGTGTCTGTCTGTCTGTCTCTCTCTTTGTGTGTGTGTGTGTCTGTCTCTGTCTATATCTCTGTCTCTCTCTCTGTCTCTCTCTCTTTCTCTCTCTCTGTGTCTATGTCTCTGTGTCTCTGTCTGTCTGTCTCTGTGTGTGTATGTCTGTCTCTGTCTGTCTCTGTCTCTCTGTCTCTGTCTCTCTCTCTCTCTCTCTGTGTAGGCATGTGTGTGAATGTGAGTGAATGTGCATGTTTGTGAATATGTGTGGATGGCAGAGGTCAACCTATCATTCTTCAGGTGCTGTCCACTTTGTCTTTTGAGACAGCGCCTCTCCCTGGCTTGGAATTCATCGAGTAGGCTAGGGTAGGGTTGCTGACAGCAAGCCCCGGGTACTTACTTGTCTCAATTTCTGTAGCACTGAGATTCTAAGCATGTACCACCATGTCCATATTTCCCTTTGGAGCTAAGGATAAAACTGGGTTCCCATGCTAGGGCAGCAAGCACTTCATAAACTGAGCCTCATCCCCATACCCTGTCTTCGATAAGTGCAGTTACTGTGTCCCACTTTTCTTAATGTAAGCCAGTCACCATTTAGCTTTTTTTTTTAAATAAGGACTTGGCCATGAATTACTCAGTAATGGTCACTGTGCTTCAGGCCACTTTGCCTGATACACTCAACTTGAGCAGTCTGTTACCAGGGCGACTCAACATGTGAGCCCCGTTGATGTTGCTGACATGAGCCACGGGTTCACAGCACAGACCCTCAGCTTTGGCTTGGCTTTCAGTGCGCCTGTCCCCAGCACACGTCTTCACCACCCCACCTCCCACCCCCTCCGCTTCCTGCCTGTGCCTGGTACCTGTCTTTGCCAGTCTCCTGCTTGAAGAGCTCGTCAAACTGAAGCATCTTGTGGCGTGTGATCATGAAGGCCTTCAGCCGTGGCAGCACTTGGCTGAGGAGCTGCAGGTTGTTGTACACCTGGCCCTTGCCGTCCCGACGCATGTAGCTGCTGGGGCCCCAGAAGATGAACACAGTGCCTTGGCTCACGTTGAGCAGGTCATGGCGGTTGCGGAGGATCCGCTGGATGCTGGAATGTGCGATGACCCGCAGGCTCGTGCGGTTGCCCACGTCAAGCCCGTAGCCTCGGGTGGGGGCATCATTCATGCGGATAACACACTCTGTCTGGTCGATGTGGGGGCCCTGTTGGCTACGCAGCAGGTGCCCGGAGCTGGTCACCAGGGCGCAATCCTTGCAGTGCATTTTCAAGGGCTGAAAGGTAGAGGGAGGAGAAAGATGGTGTCAGCCACAGGATTTACCTTTCTTGGCATCACCAGGTTCATCCCTCCTTTTAACACCCACCCCAGCCCCTGGCATCACCAGGTTACATCCCTGTCTTTAGATAAGGATGCCTTCTCCCTCCTTTTACATCTCCCCTCCCCCCGACTTGCACCAAATTGTATCTGGTCCGTTGCAACTACGTGGACCCTTGCTTTCTTTAAATCTGCAGATAGAGGCTGTTAGTCTAAGGAGAAAGGGCTGGTGTTGATCTGTTTGTCACTGGCTACACTTAGATACCAGTGTGGCCATGTGAAGCCAGCAAGGTGAAGATTGTTGTATGCTTAGTTAGCTTAGAGATGGGAAGTCATGAAGGCATACTTTCAAAACGAGGTCTTTCCGAATCCAAAGCTGGCTCAGAGGCAAGGCAAAGTCTCTTCTGCAAATTGCGTGACTCAGCATCGGGAACTTTTATTCATCTTACTCCAAAGCTAAGCATTGTCAAGGCCTTTGGACGCTGGCAAAGGATGATGACCCTCAATAAAAAATGTCATTCACGAATCACGTGAGCAATGATGCACAGACTCAATGCTATAACTTGAAAATAAAGAATTAAGACTATTATTCTCATCTAAAGGCGTAGGATAGGACAGAAACCGCAGCATCTGTTTTCATTTATGTAAATAAGGTCTCAAGCTCACAGCCTCAGATTCTGGAACTGGAGTGCTCAGATTCCTTTCTGAAAACGCACCCCCATGATGCCCTGTCTGGAAAGCCAACAGGGACAAAGCTGCTGACAATGCTGTCGAGCACCTTGAACCAATGGTTTCCTTTCCGAACACCTAAGAGCTAACAACTTAAACATCCCCTGTTCATGTTTAGTGGCAATATCTCTTCCTTATTCTAAGATAATGACATTAGAACCTGAGCTCAAGGCCAGGAAGTTCAAAAGAAAATGACAATCTGAATGCCACTGTGTAGCCAAGAGTGACTCTGAACTCCTGATCCTCCTGCCTCCACCTCCCAAGCGCTGGGATGACAGGCACACTCCACCAAACAGCTCATGCAGGCTGGAGCCTGGACTTAGGGCTCCATGCTTTCCAGTGGCATGCCGAGTCCAAGAAAAACATTCTGAAGGGAGGTTGTCCCGCCCATCTCCCTCACAGCTTTGGCCTTTTTGGTTAACTGTGGACTGGACACCCAGCTCAGTGGTCTCAGGAAACGGGATCCATCTAAGCGCTGAAATAGTTTTGTATTTACTGTGAGTTTCCTGAGCCACGGAGTGTGATGTCATAGCCTGACAGAGTGCTCCCCAAGACCTTCTCTCATGGTAAGGTGGGTCCAGCTTTGTTTGAAATATTTGGTTAGCTACAGAAACCTGCTAAGTCACTGACCTCCAGGAGCCTTGGTTTCTTCAACTCTAGCAGAGGAAGAAAACTGCCCTTTCTACCTTGGTAGGAGGGGGAAACCCCTAAGATACGGGCAGTTTTGTTTTTTAGGATCAGTACCATCTGACCTGTGAAAGTGGTCATTGCACGGATCAGAGCCCAGCTGAAGCATGGGACTTGTCACAAGAATTAGTCAGTAAATAGCAGGTGCTCTCAAGTCTATCCGTTAAGTGGTGTGCACACCTGAAACCTCAGGACTTTGGAGGGAGAGGCCGGTATAGTAGTCCTATGATTTTGAGGCCTGCATGCCTACATAGCCAGTTCCAGCTCAGCTGGGCTACACAGCGAAACTGTTTCAAAAACAATCACCATTTAATATGGAGCACGTGGTCAATACTCAGCCAACCAGAGCTGAGCCCTTTGAGCTAATGACGGACACGCAGGCTTGAGAAACCAGAGCCCCGACCACTCCGCGTTATCAGCAGGAATGCAATGTTTGGTTGTGCTTAGGTGACTGGGTGTGGTGGCTGTCCTTGTCAAGTTGACACATCTGGGAAGAAGAAATTCCTCCATTAGATTCACCCTAGGATGTATCTGTGGGACATTTTCTTGATTACATATTAACGGAGGGGAGCCCACCTCAATTGTGGGCGGTGCTACTCCTTGTCAGGTGGCCCTGGGTTATCTACAGAAGCTGGCTGAGCAGGAGTCAGTAGTCCTTGTCCTTCCCTGGTCTCTGCTTCAATTCCTGCTCTGTGTTTCTGTCTTGAGCTCCTGCCCTGGCTTTCCTCAATCATGGAGCGTCATCTATGAGTCAGATAAACCCTTTTGAGTTGGCTTTAAGTTGTTGCTTTTTGAAATTATAATCTATTATCTTTCCCTTTTCTTCCCTGCCTCCAAATCTTCCCATATATGCCTTCTTTCTGTCTTTCTCATTTATGGCCTCTTTTTCCATTAATTGTTGTTAAAGAATGTGTGTGTGTGTGTGTGTGTGTGTGTGTGTGTGTTCCTAAACGGATACAGCTTAGTCTATAATGTTACTTGTGTATATGTCTCTCTCTCTGTGTGTGTATTTTTTTTAAATTGGATATTTTATTTATTTACATTTCAAATGTTATCCCCTTTCCCGGTTTCCCCTCTGCAAACCCCCATCCCATCCCCCCTTACCCTGCTTCTATGAAGGTGCTCCCCCACCTATCTACCTACTCCTGCCTCACCACCCTGGCATTCCCCTACACTGGGGCATCAAGCCGTCACAGGACCAAGGGCCTCCCCTCCCATTGATACAGATAAGGCCCCTTGAGCTCCTTCAGTCCTTCCCCTAACTCCTATGTGTTTTAATACAGCCAAAGAGAGCAAACCAGTGCATGGAGTTAGGCAGCCAGATGCAAAGAAAGAGGGAAACAGAGCTCTTCAAAGCTTGCACGTTGGCGAGGGACCATGGGTGAAGGAATACATCAAGGTGTGACAGGGTTTATGGAAGAGGTCTGAGCTGGAATCTGACTGACAAGGATTAATTAGGCCATTGCAAGGCTGGGGATATTTTAAAAAAAAGAATGGTCAAGTAGCAATTTATTGAGTTCTCCGCATGTGTTGGGAATGTGTCTGAGCTTATTATGCAGTCATATTTATCTTTCAGATAATCCTGAAAGGTATTCTCGCTGCTACTTTACAAATCAGAAGTTTGAAAGATTAAAAAATAAAATAAGTTCGCTCATGATCATACACTTAGGAAAGTGATAACTGGGATTAGAAAGTCGGATATCTGGCTTTAGAGCCAAAGGGATTAGCCGTTAGGCTATCTCCGTGCCAGTGCGCTAGAGTAACTAGAATGTTGGGGGATATTAGCTTCACTCACTGTGTCCCTCCTGTTCTCTCTCCCCCCAAACCGGGTAAGCTATTCCTTAGTCGTGAGTGTTCCAACTCTTAGGGCAGGACTCTGATTTGGCAATAAATTGGCAGCTAAGTATCTTTCTGAAGATCATTCAGAGTAGAACTCAGTCCGGACCCTGAGTCTACGTGGGTAACATGGTCAAGACCATGAACTGCTTGAGGAAGAGCCACACTCCTGTTCGCCTCACACAGTCCCCGGATCTAGGGGAAGGAGGCTGCCAACTGCTCTACTGCGAAGTCTTCTGGGTAAAGGTTCCTTGTTTCACTGAATCGTTCTGTACGTGAATTACACAGAGCTCGATATGGTTTATTCAATGATATTACTCTATTAGCCACTAAATGTGACAGTAGAACGAGGTTGCAGGTTCTTCTCATCTGGGCAAACTGGGAAGCAGAGGGAACAGGAAACACACGGGGCGTGGCTAGAAACTCAAGAGCCCCACCCCCTCCAGCGAGACCAGCCTCCCAAGGCTTCCACAGGCTTCCCCTACCCGTACCACACCAAAAAAAAAAAAAAAAAAAAAAAAAAAAAAAAGTCAGCAGCAGTGGGAGACTAAGTGTTCAAACAGGAGTCTTGGGGGTGGGAGGGCTCTGCAGCTGATCTGTAACAGAGAGTCATTTTATGTATCAGGCACTGAACTTGGTGGATAGATAAAACACGAGGAGATTCCTTCTCAGGGAGCACGCGGTCCAGGGAGAGGATGCTCTCAGAACAATGTAAGGATCCGCAGTAAGAGCTGAACTAACCTGACACAAGGTCTTCTGGGACCCAAGGTAAGGTTCTGTGGAGCCAGAAAGGCAGAGGTACAATCAGCAAGGGATTGTGCCGTGGAAACCAACAGAAGAAGGGATCTTAGGAGGAAGAAGTCGGAACAGGACCGGATGTAGAAAGTGTCCTCTGTCTTTCATGACTAGGGCCATTGAACAAAGGATGGAACAGCAGGCACGGGGAAGCAGAGCCCAAGAGACATTATTACCACCACCACCTCCTTCTCTTCACAAGCTCATTTTTTTCAAAGTTTTAATTTATAGTTTAGTCCGATAAGTGAACATTCGTAAATGGAAGTCTTTTTTTTAAAGAATATTTGGAACCTAAAAATTTGCCAATTATCAGATCGACACAAATCCTTAGAAAGGTTTCCTGTGTAATCCTCACTAATGCAAACCTTTGTGAGAATCACACTCTTACTGCAGATCTTCAGTCTATTCTGTAATAAGGCTACAGAACTTTGAAACAACGCCCAAGGGCTGGTAGAGGGTTGCCATTGGGGAATGGAGACTCTCAGAGCCCGCTCTAACAGTTTCTTCAGTGACTGACGCAGTGCCTCAGGTTGTCAGTGTGTTAGAGGTGAAAGTTCTGCGTCCTGGGAACCCTTCAGTCCTGGGAAGCCCACTGACGCACCCTGTGACAATGGGGAGCTTCTGCAAGTGTGAGGCTGGTCAGACACGGGAGAGTCAGGAGATCAAGTCTACAGCTGATCTCAAACAAGTTCCTAACTTTCTTTAAAAAACACAAGGGACCAACTAGATAACTTGTAGCCCAATGCTGCTGATTCCTTCCCCGTTCATCCATCCTGATGTTCATTTGAAGACCTTTAATGAATACTTAATATGCCCTGAGGCACCATATAACTCAGAACATTTCTTTCATTAGCTTACTTTATTGTTGTTTTTTTTTTTTTACTTTTTGTGTTTTTATTAGTATGTATTAAT